ATTCATAGATATTACACTATCATGTAAGTTTATTGAGACATTGGGAGTCAAATAACTGACATATCTGGAGTATAACACCATTAAATTAGATAAATTTTGTTATCATGACCTACTAAACATTTTATTAAATGCGAGGTGATGCATATCAATATTCACTTAATTTAAAACAAAAGTACTACATTATACATGAAAAGAAATACAAATAAATCTTACTACTTAAGGGGGAAAGTCCTTGCACTGAAAAAAATTACATAGGAATTTCTTAAATAAATAATATGAAAAAAAATGTAACACATACTTAATCTTTGTGACATACCATATGAAGAGATTAAATAAGTTATACGAACCCACATGATTGGTTAATGTACAAGTTCAGTTCGATTAGAATAGAACCCAGAGTCTCATGAACTCTATACTACTATGCCCTATCACAGGACTATGAGATAATTTAGCATAGTACATAGAGAAATTTGCTTTAGTATTTAATGTGTTCAGAGATTTAGTTCAAAACATCTACAACCATTTACATATTTACATTAACATATCCTTGTAGAGCTAACTGTCCTACTATTAAACAGAAACAAAGGAAATTCCTTAAATGTATTCGTGACAACAGGCTCAATCTACTGCTTCAGATATGCTTTTGTTTTTGTTTTGTTTTGTTTTGAAATTCCAGGCTTTGTCTTAGAGGCCAGGCTTTTCACACACCTATCAAATCTCTAGGCTGCCAAAGCTTGATCTGAGTGGCTACCTAGGGATTACAATACTATGAATGTGAGCTAAAGAAAAATTCTATTTGCCTGCGAATTAACATATTCTTTATAAAAGGAACTTGAAATTCTAGAAGACATTAAAAGAAAATCATCATAAAGCTCTTGGTTGAAATTACACAATGTTTTCTCTGATTTATTAGTGAGGAAGCTTGGGGTCTAACTAGTAGTTATTTTTTCACTTTCCAGTGGTGTACAGATTAAATGCAATTCCATTGGTCCTACTGATAGTTCTTTTAGAGGAAGCTCAGGGGGCATAACTATAATGATTTCCAGGCTTGCTGAGCTATTTATAAACATACATCATTATCAACTCATTTTTCAGGCAATAAACTGAACCTTACATGAAGCAAATCACATTGTGAGGTTGCTCAATGAAATTTCATTTCCAAATTAAGGTACAGATAAAAAATATGCACAATGATATGTATCTGAACTCAAAACCATTGTGTCTCAGATTTTCTAAGAATTGCAGGTGTTCAGGCAATTCTGTTCATCTTAGGCTATCATCTAAGATAGGTTTTCTTTGATAAATTCATTTCAAGTTGGATTTTTCCACTAAAGTAAAAAAAAATGAGCTACATGTAAGCATTCTTAAAAGGGCTTCCTGTCAACTGGAAATAATAATATTCACCTGTTATTAGCATAAGTCACACTGCCATTTCAAAAGTACCAGTGACTCATGTTACAAATGAAGCTATTTTTAGGACAGTGCATGAATGCTGTTAATAATATTCCTTGAAAAACACAATTTGATCAAGTATTTTGTGGATACAAAAATGGAAAGATGTGCGTATTGTTCTCAAATTACTATAAATGAGAGGTACTTTTGTGGGCATCTTTGTGTCAGATATCCTTATAGACATCTTATAGATATCTGTTGTATATTTATACACTTTAAACAACAAATGTAAAATCATTTTGTATACACTTGAACTGTCATGTTAGCACTCTGAATTCTCTTGTAATTGCTGTGGCTGTGAAACCCTAGCAAGTATATTCCAGAAAAAAGTTGTGAAAACTAAACATGAGTAGGCAGAATTCTACAACATTACAATTCCTTTGATTAAGATGGAAGATTCACTGTTAAAAAAAAAACTGTTCAAAACTGTACTGGGGAAAACCATCCTTACAAAGGAATTCTGTGGCTGGCAGCCATGTGAAATACTGTATATTCTAAACTTCTTAACAAGCGCGCGCGTGCACACCCCCTCCCCACACACACATCCTTTTTTAACCACTGTCAATTAGTCATTTTCTCATTTGTCTTTTTGGAAAACTTAAGATGAGTGTCTGCCTGACCCTCACACAATGAGACTCCAGAGAAAAGCATTCCAGCTGACTGACAACCCGATTACTGGTTCATACTAGAAGTGCTGACGCAACCCTCAATACACAGGACACAAGAGGCATGGTGCTGCTTTTGCTTAAAACAAAAAAACGGGTTATAAACAGCCAACGATGCATATTTGGTACCAAAATTAAAATGCTAGTTTAAAAATAATGGCTAAGGGAAAAGTTTCTGTAGAAACTGGGCCTAAGTAGGTCATACTATAGTCAGAAGAAACACTCCAGAAATTTTCCTTCTGTGAACACAAGCTTGCCTCTTTGTGGCAGTTTTCATTCTAATTAAGACAAAGGTTTTTAATTAAGCCCTAAGATCCTTTACTGAAGGACCTTCAGTAAAGTTGTCCTTGGTGATTTCTCCCAAGGTAATTGATTTCAAGAGACAATGAAGTGGTTCTCTTAAGGAAAGACATTTCTCTCTCTACCTTCTGCTCCAGCACACAGCAAACAGACTGAAAAACGCTGTCTGCCCTTTGGACCAAGCAAGAAAAGCACTACTGTTTTCAATTCAAGCATCTCCCTTTCATCTCAAAAGAAGGTTCAAGTCCACATAACATTTTAAGAAAGCACATTTTGTAAGTGGAGACCTAGCAATTTTTATTTTACTCCCTCCCCCTACTTGCTGTTTGCCACCAGTGAAAAACAACTTAACTGTTACAATAGAAAGTCAAGAACTTGTTCCAGATAGTGTCAAACCAAACCATCTCTACTTCTTACCCGTTTGCTTACAAACCCTATCTTTTCTAGGCTGAAAATTTATTTTTTAACGTAAAATAAGACTAACATTGATTTTCAAGAACCCAAATGCTAGTTATGAATACAGGAAAGGTGGAAGGAAAAACCTTTTTATAAAGGGGAGGGGGTAGAATCAGAAACTGCCTGACTTTGATTTTTATATAGTACTATTACTGTTGTATTTGCATTAAGCTTGTTTCCCCCGCCCCGCGCCGCGCCGCCCCCCCTCCCCCGCCAGAGGAAGGAAAAGCTGAAATAAATGGGTATGGAGGCAATTAAGAAAAGATTAGCAAACACTGCATACAGCTCAAACAAACTTGAGCTGGCTACCTTCCATTCCCGTCCAAAAGAAAGGATAACGGCCTGAAAAGCAAATGGAAGTTGAAGCTGGTTGCTCTAACCTATCTGAAAAGTCTTTATGCAATCAGAGGGCTATTATTTCAAGAGACAGAGAGAAAGGGGCAAAGGATTCACGTTGCTACGGAGACCCGCTGAAGCTGGCATTCCTACATAAATTTCCATTTCTATTGAAGACGGGAAAGAAAAGATATTTTCTCCAAAGTTTGTTTGGATCCCCTGGTTACTGAAGAAAGACATTTTACCGATTTATTTTATCTTTAGTTGCAAACAACCAACCCTAAAAGAAAGAAAAGACCTAAATGTTGACCTCCTGCTGCCAACCAGTCCTCTCCACAGTGAATTAATCAACAAAGAGGAAACCCTTCAATGGGAATCTGAGGTAATAGCTAAGAAAAAGCCTTTTGTAAACACAAAATTAAATTTATGGAAGGAACTTAACCAAGTGAACTAAGCTCTAACAAAAAATGAAAGACAAAGGAAAACCAGATTTTTGTGGCTTCTTGTGCTATTTCAACTTTATTGAAACTTGAAACGCTTACTGTAAAGCTTTAAAAATAGTCTTAGAGAAGATATGAAACTGTCAGGAAGGAATTTAATGAGTTTCTCAGATGAGAAAAGAGAAGAAGAGGAGAGGAGAGGAGTGGAGAGGAGAAGAGAGAAGAGAGGAGAAAATAATCATGGGCAAGTCCTTCCCTTTATCTCCCTTTGTGCAGACACCAGCAGCTGAAGAATCAACATTAAAAGTGGAACAGTTTATAACAAGAAATTAGAAGTTGGCAGAATTCGGCTAAGGGAATAATTGGAGCGATAGGGAAGGCAGATGTATGGTCGTCGGGAAAAGAATAAAGCCAAAAAATCCTCAAGGGGCTGGTGATCCCAGGGGCTACCTGGTACTCCATCCCCCATCCCATCCATTTGCAGCTTTCAGTGCTAGCTGATTAAAGCACAACTTTCCAGACAACTGTGAGTAGCTAGCTCATAGGGCGGAGATAAAAGCAATTGGAGGCAGAGGAGTTCTTACTGTGGGAGAGAAAGAAAGGCAACTCAGAACCAAGGATGGTGTCATGGGGGGGGGGAGGGACGGGAGGAAGGAAAGCGTTCTCTCTCCCAGTTCTCCAAATCACCACCACCCCCTCCCCCCCCCAAAATTTAAGGAAATAAAATCCTAGTCGTAATGGAAATTCGTTGGGGGAAAACCGAGATACGGTGGAGTAAAGCGGGCAGAAACGTGGGCCCTAAGAGGTAACCGCAGGCAAATTCCTCTTTGAAAGGGCAGCTGAGACCCCACACATCTGCGTGGAGTTGGGGCGGTTCTGCCCGTTTCTTCTTTCCACGGGGGAGTGGAAGGCGTTGCATTATTTTACTCAGCCACATGGTTCTCGCTTAAAAAGATAACAATTTCCCCAAATAGCCTACGCGTTACTCCAGAGCGGGAGGAATGGCCCGGGGGTGGGGGGGCGACCGAGGGTAGGGGCTGTGGCTTTGGGATCCGAAACCGGGAAGGCAGGGCAGGGGGCCGGAGGGGCGCACGCGATGGCGAGGCTGTAGCCCCAGGGGCCGCAGTGGCCGCGGGGAGGAGG